ATTGTGCTTTTTTTTAAACAAAAAAGGAGTGTTTATTTAAACTTCTGATGAAATAAAAACAAACAGTAAATATTAATTGCATATATGAGTTTTAGTTTGTGTCATATTTGCAGTTTGTTTCTTAAAATGTACAGTGCAATTTATTGCTCTTTTTCAGGGGTGGAGGAGTAGTGTCATTGATAAGTGGGTGACCATCAGTTTCCTCTCACTTTAAATTATAAACCACTTAATATCTCATTTAAAAAGTGCTATATGAATAACATAAATACACACATTATTAAATTATGGCTGATGTCGAAAACATTTTGAGCGTTCTTACTGGTAAATCTGGTATTAAAGCATGAACCAAGAATTTTTTTTCAAAGAGTTTTAGCTGCATTACTAGAATAAGTCAGTGAGACAGTGAGATGACAGGCTAATATTTCGAAAGTCTTATTTGAAGGGTTTGTTTCCATTTCTCCTTCTAGGTGATACATTCAGTAGCAGCTCCAGCACGACTCCGATGGGCAGCCAGGAGTCTCTGTCCTCACACTCCTCTGAAAAGAACGGATTGTCTCAAACCTCACCTCCGTCCTCTCCTGCTGCTGAGCCCAGCTCACCCTCGTCAAAACAATCCTCTCCTGCTGCAGCTTCCTCTTGCTCACTGCCACAAAACGGTAAAGGTCAGAAACCCCCGACAGACAGTGCCTCCTCCCCCCACCTCCTGCCTTCTGCATCCTGGACATCCACTCAGCTCACTCCAACTCAGCAGACGTCCTCTGTCTCCTCCTCCACATCCTCTTTACTTTCTGCTGTGGAGAAGTCTATCAAAAGGAACTCAGTTGACTCCTTGGCTTCTGGGAAAGAGTCAAGATCTCCCTCCAGAGCCTCCACATCCACCTCCTTTGCCCAGAACTCGTCAGTAGAGCGCGCCTCCTCGCTCAGGGAGGCTGGACCAGTTCAGAGGGTGGCGTCTGTCTCCTCTCTGAAAAGCACCCATTCGGTGGATGGAAGGAATGCACCCAGTGCCACTGTCACAGACACCAAAGTGTCCGATTCTACCTCTCCTCGGCAGCTTAGAACTGCTTACAGAACTGCCTCCTCCTCATCGTCCTCCTCCTCTTCACTGTTTCCCTACCGGCTTTCCACGTCTTCCTCTCTCACCTCCCTACACATCTCTGAGGGTGTGTAACTCTGTTCACCTGCTCAGCCTTTTGCAGAAATGCAAAGTCGAAGCTGTAGTTTAAAGATAAACTATAAATACGAGTCCCTTGTTTGCTTCTGATTTCTTGTGTGGCTTGTCGCAGATTACAAAAGCTGTCACGGATCGGTGCAGAGTCTCATGTCGCTGGACCCACAGGAGGCTACGCACATGCGTAAAAGTTCACGCATCCGCTGTGGCTCTGATCTGACCTCGAAACACTCTGTGTCCAGCAATGGTTATCAGAGACCTGGATCACTGTGAGTGCCTGTAAAATGATTTAATATCAAGGTGGTCTAACCGCACAGTTTTACCTTTGAACCAAAAGCTTAGGAGAAAATCAGACTGCATGGCTGACTGAAGAAACAGCTGCTGGCTTAAAGAATATTTCAAAGTAACAATCAATGCTGTGGATTGCGCTTGTTGGCTTTAAATTAAAGTTTCTTAGAGTATTTTCTTTCTTGTCTGGGCTGAGGACCAGCCTGAATCATTTATTAAAATTATTAAAATAACAGTTTAGCTGCTTGTTATTAGATGGTGCTCTCAACCCAGACCTGGTCACTTATTGACCCTCAATTAAAGATGGAAATTATCTCAGGAAATGTTTTTCAAGTTACGTACCGCAGATGATAGTTTTGTGTTTGTGTGTGACAGATTATCAGCGAGACTGCCGCAGCGCGAAAGTTCAATATTCTCCTCAGCGTTAGACGTGTGTTCCACTGGAAGGTATATTAACTTTGAGGTTTCTCTACTTTTTAAGCTGCCACATCTTTGCACACAAAAACTCCCCTTTACTGACTTTGACTTTAAATTATTTTTTGTTTTCTTAGGGATGCTAAAGCTCTTTACTCCTGTGAAGCAGAACACAGCCATGAACTCAGTTTTCCACAGGGGGCGCTGTTCTCAAATGGTAAGATTAAATCCGCTGAGGGAGCACTGGCTCTGTTTACTACTAGTATAACAATGATATCGGTACCTGGATAACATGTGGCATCTGCTCCACGGGCCAGCTGGTATTGAGATGTTTTTGTGTTTTCTCGAGTGTGCATACACTGTGATGTCATTTCATGCAACAAATCAGTTAGGCGAGATTGGGTAAGGCCTGTTCCATTGGCGAGCTAACATCACTGCTTCTACCTGAAGCTTCTGTTGGACTTGTTCGTTTGTTCTTGCTCATCTCTACACAGACTGAATCTCAGTATCAGGTGTTCAGGGGTGTTTTAAGCTGTGTTTTGTTCATTCATAAAACTAGCTCACACAATTGACCTACATTACAGCATTGTAGCTCATTGAACTTTAATTACATATCTTTGCTGTTTTGTGAGTATTAAAAAGCATTACTCATTGTTCATTGTTGAAAGGTTCATTAGAAACGTCATGATCTGGACTAAAATTTAGCATGAGGGTCACTGGATCTTGTAAAGTTTGTGCCATCCTAACATAACAGCAGTTCTTCAGCTTGAGTTGTAGGTTGTAGAGAGCAAGGTTATGGGTGTCTGTGTAAGTCATCAAATGAAATGTGAGTGGTTTACGAGGGTCTTTGTCTCGACTTGCTGAGTTTAACTGATCTGTTTGTGTCTGCAGTGTGCCCGTCGGTGGAACCAGGATGGCTTCAAGCAACATACAATGGCAGAACAGGCCTGGTACCTGAAAACTACATCACGTACATGTGATGTTCCTGATCATGTCACCACATCACTGAAACATGGATTTTACTTGGACTTTGCTAATCTCCAGTGCATAAAGTTCTGCTTTGTGCTGCTGATTAAAGATATAATATATTTATCATGTAACTGTGACTCTTATCACTGACTACTGTGGCAGGATATGAACAATATGTATACTGTATGTAACCATGTTATGCTTTATTAACCATCTTATCATACACTAGATGGTAATATTTGACTAATGTCTGATCGTTTCTACTAATCGCCATTATCAGCTCCTTTTTTGAGGATGCCACCTTTAGATTAAATGTGTCAAATAGGTACATGGAAACAGTGTTTTTCTATCAGTTTTGGTAATTTATATGTTTAATTAAAACTACGTTAAGATTAGAAATGAAGTGTTCACACCACTGTGCCTTAAAACTGTATGAACTGCTGGTCTGAATCCTGCCAAAACATCTTTTTTTCCTGCTGGCTCAGTCAGTTTGCTGTTTTAATAAATACTTTTGCTAAAAAATAAGGTTTAATCTGTAGATTGAGGTGACACTTATTATTACAATGCATGTTTCTTATTTTGCATTTTCAGTTTACCAGGTTTTGATTATGTACTACTTTTAATAACTATTGTCTTGATAGCTTTAAGTATATTTTTAATAAATGTGTAGGAAATAAGAAATGTAAATTATATCGACACAAAAGGAAACTTGTGTATCTGCAACACTGTGCAAAAGTCTTGAGCCATCCTTCAGTTCTTTATATTTTACTGGGAAAAATAGGAATAGGTTCGATGAGATGTGTGCAAACTTGCATGTAAATATTGAGTCATTGGCAAAAACAGAGTTTGTACTAATAAGCTTGAAAGTTAATATTTGGTACAGACACCTTTATTCTTCAACATAGCCTGACCTCTTGTATTCTTCAGGAATAGAAGACTGCTTAAATATTGCTGCCTTTTGTTCCATTCTCTGTCATGATGATCCCACAGTAGTTCAATAATGCACCATCACTGATAGTGTTCCATTGTGTGTGTTTTTATTCAAGTATGATTTTTCTGCATTTCTAGTGTGTTTGTCATGTCATTCTAATCTAGTCAGATGCTTTCCAGATGGTACAGCATTGTGGATCAAATGATGATGATGACCTTTCTGTGTTCATGTTTCGGTCAGTGCTGACAAGATCTCGAACACCTATGGCTGAAATGCAATCAGAAACCATGACAGAGTATCAACCATGTGCAACAGATGGCTGTAGACACTCAATGGTGTGCCCCTCTCCTGATATCCTCAAACATAGTGAATCAAAAACTTCCAATTTGAATTCATCACTTCATAAGACCTGTTCCCGCTGATTTTCCGTTCAGTTCTTGTGCAACTTGGCATACCTCAGCCTTTTCTCCCTTATTTCCCTTCCTTAAGAATGGCTTCTTGACAGCCACCCTTACACTGAGACCATTTTCCTCTACTTCATTGAACAGTAATAGATTGACTGAAAGGCCAGATGCATCTCTCAGGTCCTGTCAGGTCTTTGCTGATTTTATTTTTCATTTGTGCTGTAGATAATTTATAGATCTGCCACTTCTTCTTTTGACCTTCACCTGTCCGGTTTCCTGCCCATTGGAGATTTTGAGGATATACTGCACACCATGCCAAGATATCCCAGTTTTTTTTAACGAATATATCTTTTAGGAATCACATTGTTGGTGCAAAAGTACCATTTCATGCCTGTCAAACTGTTATCGTTGGCTTTTTTTGTAGATTTGATTAAGGAAAACAATTGACTGCTACTAACAAAATGCCTAAATGTACAATTTAAATGTATTCTTTGCTATGTTGAATTAGATTTATAACTCATAGATCAGGGTTAAATGGCATGAAAATGGTCAGGTACAAGGACTGGACTGAAAAATTAGTGAAATGAAATGAAAAACTTTGAAAGAGCTTCAGAAATCTGGAGAACTATTGATTAAGACCAGCTTAAAAATTACAATAAGGTCTGACCACCTGGAAGCAAAATATGAAGAAATGATAGGTAGTGAGTTTTGGACAGTACTCCGTGTGTGTGTGTGTGTGTGTGTGTGTGTGTGTGTGTGTGTGTGTGTGTGTGTGTGTGTGTGTGTGTGTGTGTGCAGATAAGTATAGAATATTTAAATTGAGTCTGTACTTTACAAAAAAATGTGTATCACACTGTCAGTCACATACATTTGACCTTTTATATTTAATGTTTATATTCACATACGTGCATTGTCATTTATCGTTAGTAATGTTGTGTCACTATGTATACAACATCTTTTGACAGTGAATAGGCACTTAATCTTTGCGCTCTTCACTTATGACAGACATTGCTATGATGAAGGCGTACTGATCTCTCCCAGCCTCTTCAGCAGCCCATCGAGCGTCTCCAGGTTTTGTGCTTTTTCTTCTAGCAGCTCATATCGCAAACTGGAAATGTCCTGCTTGATTTCTTTCAGCTCTCCTGGATTCAAAAAAAAAAAAATAGATGCAAAGCTATCAAAGAAAATGTTGATGCCAGCATGGGAGGATAAATGGTGCTCTTTATTATTTTACCTTCAGTGATCTCATCGCTCTCTCTGTCTGCTTGTGCTTTGATGATGTACCGCTTTATTAGCCGCTTCATGATCTTCTGTAACCAGTAAAGGGAAAGGGGTTCGAATTATGAACAAAATGTTCTGTGCAAAAATAACACATTAAAACAAGTAATAAAATTATGTTTTAAAACAGTGAAATACACAAACACGTGCCTGATATCTGGTTCGGCTGGTAGAAGCACCATATCCTGAGTTTTTGCTTACTCCAAGCTGGAAAATTGAGCTCAAATTAGCTGAACAGAATTGTGACATTTCTGTGGTGTGGCAGTAATACCACTGGGAGGTGCTAAGGCTCTGCCACTAACGCTGAACTATCATGTTACCTTTCAAGCTGCGTAAGGATAAATATTGGATATATTAGGGAATTAATCGCCATACTGTGTGGTACCTGGTTGAGTTGTGTCTCATTTTTCTCTTTGCTGTGTCCTTCAACTAACTGCAGGAGCAAGGACTTGATGCCTGTGGCCAGTCCGAGCATAGATTTTGGGCTGGGGACTAGGTTGAAGGGCACAGGGAGTGTCCTTCCCTCCTCAAAGTAGGAGAACCAAAGTTTTGCACGAGCAAACTTCCACTCGACGTCAGCATCATCCTAAAAAAAATTAAAAATCACGAGGAAAACGGGGAAATGTATCAGGGAAGGGAAATATACATGTTTGACAGTACAGAAGGGGGAAAAGCCTGTGGTGCATTACAACCACCAGTTGGTATGAAGTGTGGACCAGCCACTCCTTTATTCACAAGGGGTCTCCACATATTGACATAGCAGATTCTAACAACAGTCCTTCCTCACACAACTCCAAATAGATTTATGTCTCCTCCCAAAGTTAAAACCAAGGATCTCTTGCTTGTTAAGCAAACATGTCAATTACTATGGAGCCACTTGCCCTCAAAAAAAAAAAAAGAAGGAAAACTCAAATCCTAATTCAGGTTAATACTACCTCTGACAAAGTAATAAAATATGTTCAACAGTTTCGTCTTCTCCACAATAATCACGTTTCCCTATATAGGCTCGCCTTTTTATAAACAATGTGTCAGCAAACATACCCGCATGGGCACACAGTGGGTAGGTATGGGTGAAGTGTGGACCTGAGTAAGCAGTGAGCAGGGCAAATTCACTATGGGTTACCCACAGAAAACACCTATGGGTTAGCCCAGGGGGTAAAACTGATGTGGGGCCTTAATGGGCTAACCCATAGGTGTTTTAGTGAGGGTTTTCTATGGGTAAGCCCACTATATGAAAATCCTCACAGGAATCCAAAAGGAAAAAATTACTATGGGCACTACATTAGATGCATCCACTGTGGAGCACCCACAGAATTACTTCTTGGGAGGGCAAAGGGGTAAAACTGCTATGGGCCCCTCATGGGCTAGCCTACATGAGGCTCATGTAGGTTTTCTGTGGGCAACCCACAGCGGCTTACAGAAAACTCTTATAGAGACTCCAAGGCCAACACTGCTGTCAGCCGTGTGTGGGCTCACCTAATTGGGGCTCAGATGGGATAAGTGGGGGTTTACCAAGTCCACACAGCAGGACACTTTACCCACAGGTGGGTCTATACAGGCATAATTGCTGGGTAAAGGAAAAGGCCCTGATTTAATTTAGTTGTATTCACATTCTGAGACACAAATAAATTAAAGTAATTTGCTTCCCTTTATATCTTAATTTAAATGACATTATTTCTCTTTATGAATGTGTGTGTGCTTGGGTGAATGAACCTTGTAGTGAATCTTTGTTAGAGTTAGTGCTATATAAGTACCAGTTCAACGTGCGCTACATGTGGGGCTGCTTTTTCAGCCCATGCTTCATATTTTCAAGCATGCATCTGGGGCACAGAATGATTTACCGTCTTAATGACCTACCTCAATCTCCTGGAAGGAACTATTAATCATGGCAATGAGCATGTTGAGCAGCACTATCACCATGGTAACATTGTAAACTCCGTACAGGACGTAACCAGTGTTCTCGATGAATTTGTGTCCGTTGTTGATCACTACGGATCTGACCTCAGACAGTCCAAATATAGCCCAGAACAATGTCTTGAAGCTCTCCTCCAGGCTGGACGGATGCACAGACGAATAAAGGGACAGAGGGAGAACAGAGGGAAGTTATTTTTGAATTCAAACCAGCCGTACACCATCAACGTCAGAGATACTCTTTTAGTAAATCAACAGAAGGACAAAATGTTTTTTGGAGTTAAAATTACAGAATAATTCAGAATAGTGTTGATATTATTGCACAAACATGCAAGTTTAGCATGAATTTATTTGGCACAATGAATCTGATTTTGAGGCAACATGTCATATTTTTATAATACTCTATTATGACTGTGTAAAGGTTTAGCTGTAACTATTTGTGCTAATGGGTCCCAAGATAAATGCAAGATTCTTTTCATTACTGCCACATAATTTTGCTCTTTGTTTTGAAATCCAAGATACTTTAACTTTTTCTGGACTCAAAACTTCTTCAGCTGTAGGGAGATCAAATCCCTCCTGGGTGCACTGATGATAAGTTTTGCCCACACTATAACCACAACCAGTGATAACGGTCCCAAGGGCTTGGTTTTAAATGGTGACAAGCCACAAAAATGTTGGGGCTTCTTTTAACTGTAATAACCACAAAATGAGTGGGTCTACCAAAGAAACAGCTCTCAGATCTTGGATAAGAATAGTTAGAAAGGATCAGGATATAAAATATCTGTGAACCCTTGTGGTGATATCCTTGGTTTGGATTGGTAATCCATTGTTGATCAAGAATTGAATCAAGTTTCATGATGAATTCGTCTGTGCAAGTTGATGAAAAAAATAAATAGATAAAAAAACAAATTCAGATGTTCACTGGTATTGACTTACGTTGTGAAGGCATCATTTTGTTTTGCACCCAGGTAGTAAGAGTACAGGTTGAACATGCCGATCATGAACGCCAGAAAGACCAAGATGAAAATGACCATGAACTTAAAAATGTCCTTTACTGTCCTTCCCAAAGAGATTTGCAGGGGACCGAAGCTTTCGTTGGCCGGGAGGATATAAGCAATCCGAGAGAAGCTCAGCACCACTGCGACCGCGTACAGGCCCTCTGATACCAACTGGGGATCTGACGCCACCCACTCGATACGAGCTACAAAAGAACACAAGCATAAGTCAGAAAATCACCTTTGATTAAAGCTTGCAATTATTGTTTTAAGGCACACTGAAGATTATTTTGATAAATGAGCACAAGCCGGGCACTAAAAATGCTATTTAACAAAGGATGTGTTAGCCACGCGGCTTAATTTCATCTTGTTCTCTTTAAAGAGAAGGAAAAAACAAAAGTTAATTTGCCAATAAGCACAGGAAAATCTAGGGCGACAGTGATACTTTTTACTTTTTACATCTATAGACTGACAGCTACAACAGACACAACATTAAAGCCATGAACAAGTGAAGTGAATCTTTTCCTTATAAATCAATCTTCAGCTCTGAAACCTTGGGTTCTGGCATTTCTGCCGATGTTACTTTGATGCTTGCAACCTGCCTAAAAGTTGTTTCCAGCCAATCACATCACCTCATGGCAGTGTCTCCCAGCAGGAAGGAAACATGTGTCTTTTGTTCTGTTTCAATTCAATCTTATGTATACAGTGCGAAATTACAACAACAGTCACTTCAAGGTGCTTAATATTGTAAAGTAAAGGCTCTACTATAACACAGATTGTCCTGTAAAGACTCTCCCCTCACCCCCAATCGGTCATGGCGCATGGCTACCCCTCTCTGCAAGAGGTTTCTTCCTGTTAGAAAGGAGTCTTTACTTCCCACTGTCACCAAGTACTTGTTTATAGGGGGTTGTCTGGTTGTTGGGGGTTCTTTTCAAGTGATTTGCTGCTGTATAAATCAAGCACATCATGGTATTTGAATTAGTTCATGCGATGTGTGAAAATGTGAAACTGCTCACCCATAGTGAAGTAGCGTATCTCCTTAGGCAGTGTGACATTAATCAGCGTTGTGTAGTTTGCATACACAGAGGTCTGTGCTAAGTTAGCATGTCTCAGCGCAGAGAAGCGGCAGCTAAAGGAAGCCAGGAAGATGGCGAGCATCCCAAAATCCAAGAAGTTCCACGGCTCAACCAGGTACTCCCCTGGTCCTTGGCTCCAGATCTCCTTTACCTCTGCCCAAATCATACCTGCAGCAGGAGCACAAGAACACAAATGACATGATTCGGCAGATGTGCAGTTGTTTTTTTAACCCTTGTATGGTGTTCGGGTCTGTGAGACCCGTGTTCAGTTTTTTTCAAAAGAAAAATTTAACAATTAATTATTTTTTCACGTGTAAATGTGTTGTGTCTTTCCACTCACTCCACTTGATTATAACTGATTTATTTATAACATTTTATATAAAAGAAAAACGAGAAGCACATTAATTCATAAATGTGATCTAACAAAGGTAAAGGGAAAAAATTAACCATGTTTGCTGTTCATATGTCTTGTAATTGGGATGAAGTAAACATCTGTTGAGTAATTTAACATAAAATTGTTTGATAGTGTTAATTTGGAAAGCCAAAACTCTAGCGGGTCCACCAGACCCATGAACACTGGCTGAGTAACAAAAATACGAACAACACACAAGGGTTAATTGTTTGCTTTTTTATTATCTATCATCATCTTATGCTCACCTATGACCCATGAGATGATAAGGATCTCCATCCAAGTGAAGGGTGTTGTAGTCATGCGGTAGAGCAGCAGAGGGTCAGAGCTGCCCGGGAGCTGATGGTGTGTCATGTTTGGCAGCAGGGTGGTGCCTGCAAAGCGGTCAGCAGCATTCAGGATGAGAAGACCCAGGAAAATTGTAAAGGATGAGGCATGAGCCACAAACTTCATGAAGGGGCTACGCATCACTTTTCCCACCTGAGAATGAGAGATGGAATAACAGAAGGTTGAGAGGAAAGCTTGCACTGTGAATGATCTTTATGGATGTAAATATTACTTACTCTGGTGCATGGGGCAATCCAGTAAGCCACAGCCAGTCCAGGCAGTCCTATAGCCACCGCCAGCACCACCAGCAGTTTGATGGCAGTGGTTTGTTGTCTCAGGCCAGGCAGGTTCTCATACCAGATACTCAGCAGCTGCTGCTGGCAGTTAGGATGAGCCACAAACTGAAAGGCACAGATGAAAGAAGTAGGACAGAAGAGTTAAGGAGAAGGAAACAGGAAAATAAAGGCTACTGGAAGCTTAAGGTAGAATCCTTAAAGTGTGATTCTATTTTTATTTATTTGAAACAGAGAAAAGCAGAAATCCATTACACCTGAGAGCTGAAACTAGAGCAGATTTATTTTTGTTTTTATTGATCTGAACATTTAATCGATTTATGAAGAGTAATTTTCTGGCATTTTACAAACTGATTAATGATTGAAACCACACAAATTGGCTTCTAAAACGATTACATCAGACAGCTGCAATTAGAAATGAAGACAGATGAGTTCAGACTCAGCTCAACGTGACTAAGTGCTACAAATATCTTTATATCAAAAACACTTGTCGACAGCATTTTGATGTTTCACACTATAAATTCCATTTTTCATTTCTATTTTTTTTAATTGATCTTAAAATTAGGCATTGTTTCCCAGCATCCATAGCTGTTGTTGTTGTTGTTGTTGTTTTTCTCACCTTTGGATATTTGTCTGATTTTAAAAGTTTGTTACCCTCATGCAGTAATGTTACGGACAGTCCAACTCATATAGAATTTTTTAGACAGACACCATTACTGATATTTGGTGATTTAAAAATCTGATATATTAGCCGATATTTTTTTTTCTTTCAGGCACACTAGAAAAAAAAATTCCCCAAAATGTGTTATGTGTAGTTACTTTTTACTAAGATAGTATAACAAAGCAGTTTAAAAATAAACTTGTTTTATTGTCACATGACTCGTTTACACTCTGCCCAACTCTGCTCAGATCAGCTGGTTGTTCTGAATACTTTTCCAACACGGGAGCTGCAGAGCACCTTCTAGTGGAAAACTTATGTAATAACCTTCGCAACACAGTTAAGCGATGTTTCTTCGTTTTCTTCTTTAGTTTTCATTTATCAACCTAAAAATGGAAATTATTTGCCAATACTGATATATCGGCAAATAGCTGTTATCGGCCAACATATCAGTTTGGCTCTATGTCGTCCACAACCGGAATGACGATGACAGTTTTTAGTAGGATATCAATCTAAATGGGTTATGCTGCTCCCACAGCACAGATAAATGTTTGCAATACTTCTAACTTGCTCAGAAAACCCATGTTTTATCCTGCCGCTGTGTCATTGCCTGTTTGAGAACACACTGACCTTTTTGAGCTCGTATTTGATGGCTAATTTGAGCCGTGTGAGGGAGGGGCGACCTGGTACATCATAGCTATCGTCCGAGTCAGTTTCTCCATTTAATATGGCCTCAACTTCCTCCGTGCTGCGACACAGGTCCAGAAGGCCCACCACGTAATCCTTGCACTGGCTCGAAAGGCGGGAGTAGTCATTCTAGAAACATGATGGAGGAAATGTGCATCAGGAGTGAAGCATTTGAGATGATTTGGTAAGATGCTAGTAAGATGCAAAAGGTAGTTTTTAAATGATGTTTTCATTTATTGAGAGCAAAAAGCTATCCACACTTGCCCCTAAACCTAATAACTGTTTGTGCTATTTCTAGTAGCAAAAACAGCAATCATGCATTTCTGAAAGCTGACAGTGAGTCTTTCACAACGCTGTGGAGGAATTTTTAGCCTACTCTTCCATGCAGTATTGTTGTCATTCAGTCACATTGGAGGGTGTTTGAGCCTGAACAGTCTGTTTACGGTGATGTCAAAGCATCTCCGTCTAGTCAAAGTCAAAGTCTGAGACCAGACTTTGACTAGGCCACTCCATGTCATTGCTGCTTAACCTGAGTGCTCTTGAGCTTCAGGGAATGAATGGACATTCTCCTTCAGGATTTCCTGTTAGAGAGCAGAATTCATGAATATATCAAGTCAACAGCAAGTCATCCAGGTCTTGAAGCAGCAAAGCAGCCTCCAACCATCACACTACATCACCACCACCGTGTTTGGCTGTTGTCATGTTTTCGTTATGGAATGCTTTGCTAGTTTTATGCCACATGTAACAGGATACAAAGCTTCTAAAAAGTTCAACTTCTGTCTCATCAGCCCACAGAATATTTCCCAAAAGTCTTGGCAATGTTAGCAAGCCTTTGTGTTCTTCCAAGTGTGACAAATATGGAAACGAATAAGAAATCGGGAAGGGGGCAAATACTTTTCACAGCATGAACATCAAGAAAAAAATGTGTAGGCTGTATTTGGACATCTCTGCTCAGGCATCCTGTTGTTTATTTATTGTACAGTACCCACAGCATACTTTGGTACTCTGAGCCCAGCAATAATTACAGCTGTTGTTTATGTGTCAAACCAAAAATCTGAACAGTGACCACAGGATCTAGACCGCCGTCTGTTCTTCTCTTAAGGTTCATAAAATGTTCATGGGTATGTTTTAGGGTATGTGTACAGCAGTGATAACAGACAGCGCACATTAGTTCTGCCGGACTTGTGTTTGCATTTTTGTTCTTGTCGTTGTATTTGTACCTTAAATTCTTTCTCAATATTAGCTAGCATGGCCAGTTCATTGCTGAGCTCCAGTGCTGCCAGCACTGGATCCTCATTAGACAAGGAGAGGTAAGCAGGACTGGCGAGTCCTCTGTAGGCATTGATCCTCGATCGGGAGTGGCTGAAGGAGTCAAACTGCTGCTGGTAGTTGCACGAGTCACAGCCACAGAAGTAGTCATGAGGCGGATCGATGCGAGCCCCTTTACTTAGCAGGGTGTAAACAATTTCATATTCCTGACAGTGTGCAGCCAGTATCACTGGAGTCACATCATGAGAAAACCTGCAGGAATTTACACACAGAGAAACATGCAGATAGTACGCAGTGTCAGCATTCGCCTTAGCTTCGTTTCTGCAAACGAGGTTTAAGTTTCAACATTTTTATGAATGTTATGAATTTATTTAATGAACTTTTCTGCAAACTAACTGCAAAAAAGCAAAAAAAAAAAAATATCAGCAGCTGGAGCAGTCAGTGCATCCATCATAGTTACATTGCGTCACCAAGCATGGACATTTCCATTTATACCTCACTACCCCCCTATTGTCAGCTTCTTGTTGTTGACTCGTATGAGACTATGACAGTTGTGGAACATATTTAACTGCTTTCTTGTTCAGAGATAGATTAGATATAATATCTCCAATCAGCACATATGAAGCTACTGCCAGAACTAGCTTAGCTTAGCACAAAGACTGTAAACAGGAAAATGATTTGCTGCTAAATCCATCTGCCAGGACTTCTAAACTTAGTTTCTTTAATGCAAACAAACTTAGTTGCCAGTGGAAAAAAAAAAGCTGCATGTAGCTGCATGATGAAAGCAAAAACGAGCCTTGAAACCAAATATTAAGGAGAGATCTGCATGTCAGGAACTTGTTTTTATAAAACACAAGTTTTGCTATTTTATTTATTGAAGCTTTAATTTGCAAACTTCACACAACAGCTTTATGAAGCAGCAATAGCAAAAGAAAGAATCTGCTGCTGCTGATAAGCCACACCTTGCTCATAACATGCTCATCCCCCACCCCACTTCCTTCTTTCCATCAGCACCCATGTTCATGATTATCACATAAATACACTACCCACACTTCTCTTAACCACACAATAACTGGATACATTTGTGGCTAATACTGTCTCTTTATCTTACAGCATCTGCCCACCATAAACTGAGTAGCTGCTCAAGTGTCTGAAAGACAGAATTACACAAACCATTGAGGTGTTTAATAAATACTCAATACATATCTAAAAAAGTCTCATGTTTATGCATGTTCCAAATGTTTTCCTAAAGTGCAAATGTGCCTAATAAAGTGTCCGCTATTACCTTAAACAAATATACAAATGTAAGTAATGAAACACCTCTTCCTCACACATACCTTGTCCCGTCCTCATCATAAGCATAGAAGTCATCCAACATGTCTGCCTGAACGGGGCTTGCTGTTAGACGACGGGCGTCTCTAAATGAAGGGTGGCCCAGCAAAGTCTCTGTGATGCGAACATAACCTTTACCTAAAACAAAAACGGAGCAAACTTGTTGGCGGTACAACTTCATTTACACTGCTGTTGCTAAAATTGCTGAATCTTAACGATAACTCTAAAATGTTAGCTTACATAGCATTTGGTAGTTTGCTGGAGTTTGTGATCATTATTGCAGTTTTTTGGGGGGGCTGGTTTAAAGTATTTTTAACCATTACTGAAGTAGTTGTTAAATTTCCTAATCATTTGTTAGCATGCCATAATGGCTCAAACAGAATAGCTCAACTTGAAAGAAAATGGTCCTTTGAACTCATATTTTACTACCTTAAAACATAAACTGTGGAGAAATTAAATGTATATTTTCCTTCCAATGCCTGCAGTGCATAACAGATTTTGATAAGGACCGCCGTTATCCCACGGGCCATACTTGGAGAACCCCTGATATAGGCTATCTACTCAGGTTGGTCACAGTTTTTCAATACTACATCGCCTGTATTTTTATTTTTTTTAATGATGACTTACTAAAGAAGAAAACATACATCCTCAGCCTTCCTGAACAATGGAACCAACCTTTAATATTGTCTTTTTTAAAGCAACAATCTTTTAAATCTTGTAACTGCTAACAGGAGAGGCTAAAAGTCTAGCCTTTTGTACTCGTGCTAAATTAGCATGTTAGCAACTTAGCTAGACAGGATTTTGCAAAAGCCAAAGTTTAGTCGTCTTGGGCAGTAGTTCTCCAGGATTTCTCAGGGCCTTTCAAAGGTTTTTCTTTAGGCATTGGCTTCTTTTCCCCTCATTTTTAGTCCAGACCTGAGAGACGCATCTGAACCTTCAACTGATCCATTTACTGTTCACTGGCCTCATTGGAAGGGTGGCTGTCAAGAAGACCTTCTTAAAGAAGGAAAACAGGAAAACTGAGGTTTGCCAAATTTCCCAATAAGTGGACTGAAAATCTCTAGCAACAGGTCATATTGAGCACTGAATCCAAATATGAACATTCTGGTTCAAATCATCATTATTATGTATGAAGGAGGTCAGCAAAGACGTACAACAGTAAGTTGGTGGAGAGTCTTTAAAGGTTTCAGGCATCATAGACAGTGGTGTTGAAGATGTTGTTAAAACCAATGAAATTACGAACACAGAAAAGTAAACTTTTTAATTTTGATCCGTCGTGCAATACCATCTGAAAAGCATCTGATTGTCAGTGGCTTCATTATTCAGCATGACAGTCATCCCAAACACACTGCCAATGATTAGTAAAAGCATACCTGTATAGAAAAACACACACTTGCATACTATCAGTGATGGACTGGCCTCCCCAGAGCTCGGACATCAGCATTATTTAAGCAGTGTGAGATCTTGACGAGAACAGAAGGCAGCCAACATCCAAAGTAAAACTTTGAATTTCCTTCAACAGACCAGAGAATGAAGCTACAAGAGCTGAAACTATGTTAAAGAATAAAGGTGGTGATACCAAACATTGATTTTGAAGTTTGTTAGAATTGCACTCTTTTTGCTTTATACACTACATTCCCATTGTCCTAGCAAAATATAAAGAAATAAGTAAAATGTAAAAACGTAGTCATCAACAATCTCCTCAAACTAAACACAAAGTATTTCACCAGAAATGGTCCAAGTCTGGCCCGTTTGAGCAGAAAAATGCCAATGCAACTGTGGTAACATTTTTGCAGGCGGCTGAGTGGCTGCAGGATGTATGAGAAACTTGACTCAGAGGCTGTGGTACAGAGGGGTTAACAGTACTGAGGCAATTAATCATTATTATTAAGCAATGTCACTAGACTCATAAAGAGACACAGCTATGTAAGGACACAGATTAACGGATAAACGGTTACATAACTGTGGTTCCATCCAGTCAAGCAATGTGTTGTGTCTGACATCTTTGGAACTTTTGAGTGATATAGAGATTTTGCCATATTATGTGTTTTTGGCCATACACAAATAATCAGGTCTTACTGATGGCTAAAAGGAGAGCGTCGCCCACTCTGGCCAAGTCTGCCCTCCCCAGCAGCAGCTCTGTCACCTCCAGATGTTCGTTGGCCACTGCCAGCTGCAGTGCATTTTGGCCCATGTAGTCAACAGCGTTGACGTTCAAGTTGGGTACATGCAGCAGCATACGCCGCACCTCTGGTATGTTCCCGTATTCAGCTGCTTCCAGGAAACGCTGCTCAACCTCTGACAGGCTGACTGAGGGAGCTGAGAACATGTAGGCAGGTCCACGGAGAGCCTGGCGTCGTTTAGCAGCAGTGAGACGAGCCATAAGCTGTCGCTCAGAGTTACTGTGGCTGCCAGAAACAGAAAAAACACTCGGTGTATGGTCCACACATGAATTTACACACAATGTAGTTCTCAACCAGAACGGTGCAGGTGTGCTATCCACACAAGTAATGAGAGAGAGACCCACACACCCGTGAGAGAGCACTGAATCACAGTTAACCTCATTCATATACTTGCCTACCATAATCTGCAATTAGTAGATGTAAGTTAACTTTTACCTGGAGAACAGATGAAATAGTATCAAGTTACAACATTTTCCTGGTTCTGTATTTCTTTCTTAATATTCTTTTAAGATGCATTATCTAACATTCTGTTCTGCTACATCATATGAGGTTTGTTTATGCCATGATGGCTTACAAGGTTTGCACATAAAAACGAAGTACTCAGTGCATCAAAAAGACCAAAAGGATTCCCAAGCAGGCATCAGTGTGTGACGAGAGGAGCATAAGAAGAGGTTGAGAAATCCTGTAGCACTGAGCACTGAGGCTAATGTAAATAACGAGGCAGGAAATGCAAAAAAAATGGTTTACATTATAAGCATTATGTTACTCATAAGTTAAATTACGTTTACTAATGGATCATGGGTTCTGAAGTACACTCTCTAATGTACATCAGTCTCCCTCCCTCCATCCCAGAGCGCTGACCTAGAGTTAAACCCAATGAGCACCTGTGGCTGTTTTGCTGGTTGCAAGTTAAAGAATGCAAACTGAAAAACATTGTGCTTGCAATATTTAGTGAAAATTACCATCAGGCGTCCAAATACGTTTTATCTTCTCCTTCAAACTTTTTAAAATCTGTCAGTCTTATCCATGATTTTAACAAAAAGATGCAGAGGATGAGCATATATGCCTGCTACACCTCTGGCAGACTTACCCAAGGCATCGTCCGGAGCAACACGTTTCCTCTCCAAAATCATCGTACATGAGCAGGTTATCACGGCTCCTGGCTCTGGGGCTGTCGCTGTAACCTGCAGTCCGGCTGGCATGATGAACTGCAAGCGGTCTGTGGTTCATCCTGGAGGTGATCGACAGCAGAGGCTGTGCTCCCGTTTCATGTGAAAGACTAATCAAGTGTCTGTGGCACGTCTCTCTCTCTCCGTCTCTCTGTCGCCCTCCCCCTCTGGTTTTTTCTGTGTTCTTGAGAAAGAATGCATCCTTCTGGGTCCCACAACACTTTTCCTTACGTGACGCATTGAACTTTACAGATGTGGGAGGAAGCTCAGGGTTGCGACTGAACAGGCTCAGAGTTACTACTGATGTAGGGTCATATTTGTCTCAGTGGTTTCACCAAGTCCTTCATCTCTTTCTTTGATATTACTCAGTATTTGTCGTGGCAATAAAGGTGGATTTGTTACAAAAATAATAGGAGTAAAGAAATGAAATATTCTCATGATATAGTGTCTTACCAATAGTTGTATTTTTGACTTGTAAGATGCTATTTTAAACTGCATTGTTTAGAGTACGTGTTGAGAGTTTTAGTGTGTGTGTACATGCGTGCAGAAGTGACTGATGGCTGATGAACAGCAGATGAGATTCCTCAGGGTTTAAATTCCCTGTAGACTTTGCTTCCTGTGTGCTCCCACTCTCAGCTGATCCTGGTCCAGTGTGGGAAAACTCTGTACCCAATCACATGTGTTCATGTGTTTACAACTGTCCAGCTTTTAGTAGCAATATTGTGATCATCTTCTGCTTTATTGTCCCATAATTCTTTTATTTGTTTTGTTGCTACCTATGTCAGCTGAGAGCACTTTTTGTCTGCTTTCAAGCTGAATTTCACATTAAAAAAAACCCTTACAGTCTGTAAAAAGTCTCAGCGTGAAATCAGCCTGATAAAGCAGGATCTCCAATGCACAATTGTGGCAGAGAGAATTGCCTTTTAAGGACCTGATTGCTGAAGATTAGCCAGTTTGGATGTGTCGTGGCGTAGGGGCGTCACATTTCAGTGGGAGAATAGTCGGGGCAATGGGGGTAAAGTCTGACAAATGTCACCATTGTGGGTTTTTGTTAAGATTTGCTCGTCTGAACAGAACAGACCTGAGATCTGGATGTAAACACTGTCAGCCTAAACATACACACTCTTACTGAGGGGCACTGAGTGGACAAGTACCTGGACAGTCCTTTGTGTGTCCTCCTCATGTGTGGGTGTGCGTATTGATTAACTGCAGTGATATGTAGGCATACCAGACCACACATAGAGCCGGCGCTCCTTCAGTGTTATCACCTGAATCACTGACGCTAAAACACACAAGCACAAACACACACATAGCACACACACACAGACAAACTTTGGCACCAACAGGACACCGTACATGTAAGCCCCACAATGCTGCAGCTAACTGGAGTAGAGTTACCAAAGCCGTATACTTTAAAGACGTCACTTGAAACGATGAAGCCACCTGAGTTCAAGATATTTCGCTCATAGTTCATGTTTTGTTGGGCTGAACTCTGAAGAAGGAGGGGAGGAAGAACAAGAAAAACACACACGCACACAAAGGCCCGGACCAAATTGTTTCCTGTGTGGAAGCAGCTGTTCTGCAGCCTGTGCATCTGTTCTTTGTCCAATAAACCAACCTGAACCTGCAGCTCCTTCCTTCACCCAATCCCACCATTTTCTCGCTCTTCTTTACTTCTTCTTTCTTATTTTTTATGTAACAGGTAAAACTTAGACACACTCCAGACTCTCCCGAGTTTGTTTTTTATTCTGTGTTTTCTTTCTCTAATGTGTGAATAATAAGAAATCAGTATCACCGCTGGTTTGTTGGACACCTGCGAGATTAGAATACACCAGTTTCTGTGATTTTCTGGCGAAACTAAACAGTCTGAGGTCCTGCCAGCGTACTCAAGAGGCTGCGGTTTTCATTACAGCTGCAAAGTGTCTAGTGCTCATCCGGAGAGACGATAATAACAGCGTCTGATTCTTGGAGCGCTCAAAAGTTCTGATGCGCATGAAACTTTCCTGATTGAATCATCATTTGGTAAAAGATTTACTGAAACAGGAAGTCTTTAACACCACGACCTTGAGACAGGTATGAGCTACTGTTGGTCGTTACTGTCTTACAGGATTACCAAACTTGATTGCTTTTAATCAATGACTATCATGTGATGCACCTGAAGGGGTGAAACCACGAGGTTTCTGCAGACTGATTCAACACGGTGGTTACACTGAGATGAATCAGGGGGCTGATTCAGTTTCACACGTCAGTGTGAATGTGACCTCGGGGAAGAAGAAGCCCCAGTTTTCAGCTGTAGCCTCGGTAACCTTTTCTCTCTAATCCAGTGATTTGATTGTGGAGCAGGGAGGGTACTCTGGGTGTCTGAAGCAACAGAGGTCCTCTAGCTTGCTAACGTATTTATTTGGGGAGGTCGCATTTAGTTTCTGTTTGATCAGACCTTTGCAGGGTTTTTCTTTTTTACTAATCAGGCTTGGATTTCATGGTTGCGGATTATTTCTGCTGCAATAGTGACAGAAATAATCTGGTCAATACTAATAAACTGCATGTGATGTAGGTCTCAATCGGTACACTTTGCTGAGATTCACAGCGCCACCTACTGGACTGGATCAGTTTAAGTTCTCCTCCCTTACCTTGGTGTGTATGTTAGCTGAACCAAGATCAGTTGAAACTGACAGGAATGCAGCAGAGTTTGCAATTAGTGTAAAAGAAGAAGAACACCATAAGTAATTGGCTGATTTTATTTTATTTTATGTTGGTCACAGTGAAAATAGTAATCCAGAAGAACTATATTCTGTTTTAATGAAGCTTTTAGTCATGCATTGCAATGATCCATTTCTTCCCATCATCTCTCAATTATTGGTTGCAATCCTCCTGATCTTCATGGTGACAGATTTGATGGTGTAGGGGACTCCGTTGTGTCTCCAGGTGTCCCACACGATGTGCGTCCTCTGCCCCTGGTTTCGCTCTGTGTCTTCGGGAGAGCCGTTGAGATTTGCCAGACCGCACTGATTGAACCACCACCCCGTGTGGTTGTGGTGAATGCTGCAGCTCTCCACCGTGCAATTGCCAATGGAGCAGAAAGGGTTGCAGCCATCATTGTCGACATCTGAGGCACTGAACGGTGCCGTGTCCTGGTTCTGTTCCTGGTTGTAGCCTCGAAACGCATCACCTGCACCAGAGCACGCAGAAATCCATGCAGACATGCAGGAGACACAAAATAACCAAGTGGACCGGTCGCCGGTGTTTTAATTTGCACTTTAGCAATTTTTAAAAAAAATTACATTTGTTTTGTGAAGTTTAACTTATTAAGCCATACCTGCACTACCTGCATATCTGCCCAGGTGTATGCTGAAGAACTGCGTTTCACTGTCAAGGCGGAAGTCATCATACGATGCATAAGAGGTGACATCGTCATGGGAGACTAGAGCAATGTGAAGCTGGAATCGAGTATCCTTCTGGTTTACTATGTGAAACACCTTCTTCAGGCCCAACCAGTGTTCTCCTAAACACAAGACGAGAGATTTAGTGGTGAAGTGCAAGGTATAGTTCTCAATATGTGTAGACTGATAAAAATGAGACGGTGTGACAACTTTGAGGAAATGCTATGATACCTCACTAGGTGATGGCTAGCTAACCTTAGTATAAATACTGGGAACAGAATCAAAATGCTAGCCTGCCATCCATACACCGATAGTCCTATATATACAGCAGCAGCCTATTAAAACTTATCCTCTTCATGCTTTGCTAACGTTTCCTCTGTGCTAGTTGTTATGCTAGCACAACTTTATGTGCTGCTCAAGCAAAAACCATTGATAAAAAATTAAAGTTCCTCCTAGACTGCAGTTCCTCCAATGGCTGCTTTAGACTGGATCAACAAGAAAGTCGATTCCAAAAGTAAAATACTCTGTAACGCACACCTTTAGACTGTATTAAGCCTTAAAGTGATAGATAATTATGGTTGTTGTGGCAAATGAATTCACTCACAATGGAAACCTACGAATCCCACAACCTCAGGTCCAGCAGATAGTGAACATTATGTTGGTCAGGGGTTCCCAAAACATTCTTTAACTGATACTATAAAGTATATTTTGAGCATCTAGCTTACCACCATATAATGTTATTTTTAACAGTTCAACCTCAAAGAGGATCTCTTTGATAATGTACAACCTGCAAGGTGTCCAAAGCCATCGACATAGCCATCCCAGGATCTTTTGAAGTCAGTTAAACCGTCACTCCTCCTCTGCATCACCGTCCATCCGCCTCCCATATAGTCCATCTCACAGAAAACCTGCAGGACAAGCTTTGCTTTGAGTGTCGGCCACAGAGTGAATAAATCACTGAAGGAGTGAATGAATGAATTATATACATGTACCTCAAATGAAGAGTCAGTGTTCTCTGGGTGGACTATGTAAATGCCACTGGGGATCTTGGGGACGACTGACACGAGGTTGTCCTTGATGTCGCTGCAGTCTCGTCCTAATCAATGCAACAAACACTCTGTTTGGTCACCAGGAGAGTAATTTAATCAAATTTATGGTGAAGCAACTTTTTTGATTTATAGCCACTAATGACTTGAAGGACTGTGCACTTCATGTAATAATTAGTCACTGAGCTTAATATAAATGGCATCAATTTATTCTCCGCCTTTGCCGCACAATCATTATATATTTGTCAGAGCTGTTTTTCTCTCTGTTTTTCTCCGTCAGAGCTGTTTAGTTACTCAAATGAGGCACAAACTATTGAGTTATGATAGACTGTACAAGTTAGTGGTGCAGTTCAGCATCTAGTGGAAAATATGTACCTCCAAATTTGCAGATTTTGAAGATTTCTGATGTACTAAAGGTTTAAATACCTTCTGGTGTGGCTTTGTGGGTCAGAAAAAAAAACTTTTACGAACCTCAGATTTTGAAAAAATGCTGTTCTGTTGATTCTATTTAAACCTTTTTCTAAAACTGATATACTGGAGATTTCATTTTTAAATAATGGACAAAATTATGCACCAGGTTTAAAGATATCCTCAAAGGGAGGCCATAGTGTTTATATCCACATTATCTTTTATTTATATGCTGTTATAAACATAGATCACATTAAACTCAGCTCTTGGCTCTATATGATGTTTAAACAGGGGATGCCATTAATATGGTGATCTCTGGATTGAACCTACTGTTTCAACCTTATCTTTGTAAGGGGTAGCCTATTAGAAGAAAAACAGGAAGGGGAAGGAGCTTCAGTAGCTTCTTAAATAATGATTCACAACTTAAATCACCAAAGGTACAGTACTTTTCATAATTCACCATGTCACTGGGTGTTACTAGTTAGCGTTTATGTCTTTCAAGCTCTATAATCACAATCATATGTGTTTGTGTGTGTGTTACCATGAGATTGTACAGGTTTCATGGAGTACATCTCAGTGTTGCTTCTCTGAACTTCCAAGCTGAGAGTTTGCACTTTGGTCATCAACTCTGTGACCTGGAAGTATGACATCACTGTAAATACATTCAGCCAGTCTGACGATCACAAACACTTAACAGATGTTTAACAGATGTTTAACCTGACTGCTTAGGATGTCCAGAGCTCTCTGTTGCGCCTCCATCACATCCCTCATCAGTTTTCTGTTGCTGCGTCCAAACGCAAGCAAAGACTGCTGCAGCTGACCTGAACACACACAAACACACACACACACACACATACACACACACACACACACACACACACAAAAGCACACACACTGAACAACACATGAAGGTAATGGGGCTAACAATAGCACAACAAATCAGAAAAGGCTTTACCACAAATGGATTGTTTCTCATCTCGCAGGAGCTTGACAGTGATGTCACACGGGATGGTGCATGAGTCCTGACCTTTGACTTCACCAAGAGGTCTCTGATCTTTGACAGGAACATCAGCGAAATCTCGATTGTCTAATTCCGATTGGTTTATATTACCTCTGTTCTCGTTGTCCTGGAAATCAGGAGAAAAGGACAATGAGAGAGTTCAATCTATAAGGCAGCACTTATGTGTAACTAGCCTGGAAAGTATGACTCCTGTGGCTCATTAGAGACTGAATAATGTCAGCGTTGTGTTTGTTTTCTGCCTTTTATATATCACATGGTTTCTTATTTCAAATGTACTACAGAAAATGTAGTTTGTAGTCTACTTCCTGACTCAAGTCCCCTGAGTCAGGAAGTAGACACTCTGTTAGTGTTTTAACCTGATTAGCTGTTGTGTTTTAACTTCTCCACCACCACCAACCGAAGGAAAAAAAGACTTTCATCGTGGGATCAGCAGTGCTGTAGGTCAAATATCGCACTTGGCTGAGAGTAACTCCAATAAACCGAAAAAAGATTTGTAACCGACAGTAAAATATGGCTTTTGAGGTATTTCACTTTATCGTTCCACTACAGCACATTTTGGATGGAAATTACACATTATTGCATCAGCAAAATAAATTAAAAAATCTACTTACAATATGTGGATATATATGCATAACAGATACTTTTACCTGTATATTTTGTTAAAAAATACTTATTTTCTTTCATTTAAAACACAAACTCATAACATGATCATTTTAAAAATGATATAACTAATTAAAAAAAACAAGAATTTGTGGCTAACCTCTAAATCTCTGTGATTATATGGGCATTTCTTGAAGCACTTTAACACCTTTAAATGAGCTCCCTCACAAGTCATAATTTATAGCTTCCTGCTGTAACTCCTGATGGAGGAGTGATATTGATCAATAAGACAGATGACAAGTTAAAAACATTCATAGCATGCAGTGCGGTACATACTGCGTAGGAAAGAAGCGAAGGCAAAAGCAGCAGGATGACAGCTGCTGTCCACATCATCTCAGTCTTTTCTGACTGTGATTATTTCCACCAGGAGCTGAAGGAGCTGAATTCGGTCCGCCAGCAGACACGCCTTCATATGTTCTTATTTTTCCACAAATTCTTTCCTTTTCTAATCGTCTTCTCTGCTCATCTACGAAGTATTTCTGCATCTTCCTTTCATTTTTTAAACTACTTTTTTTTCTCTACACTTCCTGTCCAACTGCTCTTTCTCCACCTCCATCAGTCACTCCTACTTTCTCTTGTTACATTCCCATGACAGCATACCCTTTAAAAGAGGAGGTCACATTTGTTGATAAAACTCTGGCAAGTAGCTGAATCTGCTGATTCAGAGCCATTACCTTCCCCCTCAGTGTGTCTATTACTGAGCATTGTTGTTTTACAGGTTATATCCTGCCATCAGCATGAGAAACAGATGTGGAAAAGGGAAATGGGCAGCTTGTTTTAATGTAGGAACCTTCTCCCTCTGCTTGTGTCTCTGCGTGGGAGCTACAGCTGAAGGTAGGGAGGAGTGAAGGCAGGGTGTCTTTGCTGCTCGTATTTCCCCCCAGTTACTCTGTTTGAAAACAGTCTCACCCTCCTTGACAGTCAGAACAATTACTTCAGTTAACTTGGCACTGAAGCAGTAAAGAAAGCATTCCACTCAGACTCCAGCCTGTCATTTCCCTGGAAAACTGTCCTGCAACTGCCAAACTGAAGATTTGCTGCTGTTCTTAACCTGTGTGAGTTTACAGCCATGGTCAGTGACAGGAATGTGAAAAAGCCACATGCTGCAGCCTCTGGGCCCCCACATCTGTCCCACGTTACATGCTCTTGTAAAACAGTCTGTACAAGTAAATGAGAGCTGAGATAATGAGTATATTTAGACATGACTGCGTGATTAATCAAGCAATTAATCAAACATACAGTACATTAAAATCTGTTTGTGTTACCAGGGAGGATTGATACTCTCCTATTCCAGCACAGTAAATGTGACAGAGCTGGGAGAGAGTTAGCCTAACATAAAAGAGTAAGTACGGATCTGGCCTGGGTAAAGCCTGAATATTAGCCATCCATCCATTCTCTTCTGCACATCCTTATCAGGGTCGCAATTGGGCTGGAGCCCATTCCAGCTCCTGAATATTATACTGTTGTTATTTACTAGCTAATCTTATATGACTAAAGTGGAACATGCTGAAATTAACGGCAACATTTTTCCACATTTAGCTCAAAACCTTACAAAAACATGTTTTTTCGAGTATTTTTTTACAACATTTAGTAAAATATTTGTAACTTTTCATCAAATGTTAAATATTAAATCTAAATGTTAAATATTAAATCTAAATGTTAAATGTTAAATTTAAATGTTAAATATTAAATCTAAATGTTAAATGTTAAATCTAAATGTTAAATCTAAATATTATATTTACATCTAAATGTTAAATGTCTAAATTAAATTAAATCTAAATGTTAAATGATTAAATCTAAAATGTTAAATTTAAATTTAAATTTAAAAATAATAAATCTAAATGTAATGTTAAATCTAAATGTTAAATCTAATGTTATATTTAAATCAAAGTTAAATTAAATTAAATATTAACTAAATAATTAAATATACCAAGTAATGTAAATCTAATTTAAATAACTAAATATTATATTTAAATCTAAATGTTAAATGTTAAATCTAAATACTAAATGTTAAATGTAACTAAATGTTAAATTTATACAGTTAAATGATCTAAATCTAAGTTAATAATGAAGTTATTAACTAAATGTTAGCTAATGCAAATTTATTGTACGGATCAACGGAAATACCAAAATAAAAGCTTCCCGAAAACCTCCGGTGCAAAATTGTGTCTGTTCTCCTCACTTCTCCCCGCCATGTGCTGCTTCACTTCTTGCCTACGAGCATGTCCAGCGATTTTGCTGGACATGTGCTGCAGCGATTGTGAAGTGGAGACTGCAGCTGCTAAGAGTGCACTACTGCTGAACCTTTGGATGGCCGACAAAACGGATCTTCCGATGTTTTCAGCTAAATCGCCGGACGTGCTTTCTCATGGTCGGGTTATGGCTGAATTCCAGTGGAATGACGGTCCCGCCATAATAGACGTTCCAGCCATGTGTTCCAGCCCTAAACCTAACCTTATCCCTAACTATAACCTTATTCCTAACCTTTACTAGCAGTTAAATGACGTAAAATAGCGATTTTTAGAAAATGAAAGAACATGCGTAGATTAAGTCCAAACGGTTCTCATGCGCTCTCCTTTTTCCGATGCCGTAATTTAGGAACGTGTTGGGTACCCGAAAGCATAAAATGTTGACAATTTGTCACCTTGCGAAAATTATTAGGCTTTGGGAGTGAGAACGTGTCTGACCACTACCGGCACACTTTTGCACCGGAGGTTTTCGGAAAGCTTTTATTTTGGTATTTCCGCTGATCCGTGCAATAAATTTGCATGTTAGCCTAAACATTTAGATTTAACATTTAACATTTAGCATTTAGATTTAACATTTAGATTTAGATTTAAATATAATATTTAGATTTAACATTTA